CTCTCTCTCTCTCTCTCTCTCTCTCTCTCTCTCTCTCTCTCTCTTTGATATACAATTGGTCTTCGACTCAAATATTCGAAGGAATAATTAGCAAAGATAACAATTCACTTCGAAATTTGACATCGAACACAAACGACGTTCAAATCTATTTTCGATGCTTGCTGAAGTTTAAGATGAGTAATCAAATTCAATTAAATTAAAAGTTTCATGATTGAGTGATCTAAAATCGAAAACTGTTGCAACTTCCAGTGTCCAGTGACACGAATTCGGAGTTAATCAAGTGCTGACAAATTGTTTCGGCCAAAATCACATCGAACACGTTTATGTGAAAGAACTGGTTGTTCATTCTGTCTGTCGCGAAGCGTTCCTGGGAGAAAATGACGTAAAAACCGTGAAAAGAGGGAGGACTCTGTTTCATCATCAGAGGACGTAAACGAAATCAAGTCCGCCTTTCGGTGGCTTTTAATTTGTAAAAAAGCGCGATGCTGGCGCTCGGCTGGTCAGCCAAAAATTAATCCGCCGCTTCAAACGGCCTCGTCTCTTGATAACGCGCGTCGACCACCACTCGGAGCCAGAACTCGCCATTCGCGACACACAATTTCCGTCGACGTTGATTTCCGGCGAGAAGAGAAATAAAAGAAAAAAAAAGAAATAAACACATCGGCGCGTTGATTAACATCCCCTCGTTCAATCGAGTCAAAGGATTCTGCTTCTGTGCTATTTACTCGTCTACCTTTCTGCTGTGTTCTCGTTTTATTCGACGAGCGACAGACCATTTCGGCCAGTTTCGAGAGCCTAGGTCCGAGAGAGGTCTGAGTGAAAATTATATCGGCACGCGAATTACCATGTCGAAGGAAACGACTTGGCACATTATTTTACGTAATATAATTAAGGATGAAAGGTGCCTTGCAGTTCGGAGGGAGATTTAATTATTCGAGGAGGTACTTCGATCCGAGGATTTCTTACTTCCTTTTCAGACGAATCGACAATTTTTTTGAATTAATAAACATTAAAGTTCTTCGGGCCGGGTCCTTAATTGGTATATTTTGTACAGGCAATCCATGAGAAATTTAATTGGTTGGAATTCACGTCGTATTTTCCTTCTTTCAAATTTTCACATTTACGTCTCTGGCACTGAATGAAATACTTGGTGAAATATACAAAACTTCACTCTCCAACGTGCTATTTACATTCCATTGGTAATTTAGTTTTTCCTCTCATTAGTAATAGCCCAGGAATTTGATTTGCACAGTTTATTCTCTTCATTTAATCGTCGAGCAAACTTCCAACTGTAATTTAAACGTCGAATTTTTGTTCAACTTGCGCAGAATTGATAAACAGAGATTTGCCTTTACAAAGCAACGAGACAACGGATGATCACATAAATCTTCAAACAATGACATCAATATATTTCCTTGAGAATTACTCATTTTAATTTCTTTTAAATCTCAGGTGAATTTCTAATTTTAATTTAAAAGTCGAATTTACATTACGCGAAGATAAATTTTTCTTTGTAAAGCAACAAGACAACAGAGACGATCAACGTCTTTCGAATAATAACACATTTCACCAAGACTTCCACTCACTTTAGTGGAGTCCTCTAATTCGATCAATTTCAATTTTAATTTATCGTTAATTTCGA